CTTACACCATGCCAAATAACTATTTGTAAACATATGCAATAAGTCTCGCCCGTTAAAATGCAGTATTGAATCATAGAGTGGTCTCCTTGAGTGATACGTGTTCTTCGACAAGCATTCATTTGGCGGATTTTTGCTTTGACGTCGCTTTGTCTTTAAAATCCATTTAGCTCATTGTTAACAAACAATGCAAAACGCCATAGATGACTGAGCACGCCCAGCTGAATTTTAAATAATCATCAAAAGAAAGGCATGCTGGAATAACAAATAAAAATAACTGAATGGATTCGTCGGCGGTGCTTACTGTAAAAAGTACTGCGTGTGCGTTTCCACCAGATCCGTCGTGCCCTGCAGCAGCTTCTGTTCCCCGGGAAGGCTTTCCACTGGGTGCGCCACATCGTCATTGCCCTGTGCCTGCTGTTTGTTGTCAACCTGCTGGTCATCCTCGTGCCCAACATTCGAGACATCTTCGGCATTACTGGTATCACATTTGACTAACATGTTTGTAATTGCTGTAATATTCATCAAGAAATCATAATAGTCAAATACGGTAATCCCTCGTTTATCGTGAGGGTGACGTTCCAAAAAGAACCCGCGCCACGTGAAATATGTGACATAATCATCTCTCGTTACATTTACATTTTTTTCAGCCCTAAGCATTAAAACATTTATAAATAAATAAATACATGATGTTTTCTTGCAAACAACTGACAGTTTTTAGAAATACTGTACAGAAGGTTCCGTCAACATTGTGGATTTTGCCATGGAGAAAATTTGACAAGCTGCACAGCTATGATGCACGGAGACTGTTAACATTAGTCTATAGTCCTTTTGTCAATCAGGATGCTGAAAAAAAAAAAAGTTAAAAATAAATAAATCATTGTAACAGCAAGCCCGTGAAAGATGAACCGTGTTAAAGAGAGGGATTACTGTACTCCGATGGTATTGTGCCAAAAACGCGATATGATCAGAAACCAAACAGGAATCACCCAATAAATGCAAAAATTGCAACGTGAGTAGCTGACCTGGGTGGATAAAATCAATTTCTGATTGGAAAATCATTTGTGCTTTTGAGAACAAACCTCAAGGCATTTCACAGACTGCAGTTAAAATGATAGATGCCAATAAACTACGAGAGGGTGAAACCATGACTAAGTGAACACATTAGAAATTGATTTTTGTTTTCATTTTGAAAATCATCATTTTTCAGCACATATTTAAACAAAGAAGCACGGCACAATTATAAGTACCACACATTGACTTACAAAATGATACCAGTACTTTTTTGGACGGGGGGTAAAATGTTGAGAGTCTTTTTTTTTTTTGTGTGTCCAGGGGCAACTACTGCTCCCAGTCTGATCTTCATCCTTCCTGGACTGTTTTACATCCGCATCATCCCCACTGAGCAAGAACCCATGAACTCCAGACCAAAGATCCAAGTAGGTTGCGCTAAGGGTTTTTCAAAAAGATTTTTCCCTACTGATATCGCCTCTATTTGTTTTTTTGTTTTCAGGCCGCATGTTTCGCAGCGCTAGGGTTCATATTTATGATCATGAGTCTTACATTCATTGGAATCGATTGGACAAGCGGGGAAAAACGAAATCTGGGTGGGCATTAGAGTGCTTCGAAAGCTCTTCAGAAACAGCATCCTCACTTATTCGACAGTCCTCGACTTTCTGCTGGATGGTTTTGACCATGAGCTCGGAGCACTCCTTAATGACACGAGGACACATTGTTCCTCCATGGTGTCGACAACAGCAAAGTGGCCCCGTAAAGCCACTCAGGACACATCAGCAGGTAGTGTCGGCCCGCTTTACGTCGACCAAGGAAGCCACCATATTTGCAACTGCCCAACTTCACGAAATGCCACAAAAATTGTGGAGGATAACGCGAAGGAGAAAAATTATTGTCTGCATGCAAAACATTTCTTTAATCTTTGCTTTAGAAAATGGAGCAGAATAATGACATGGAACAAGACCAAACACTCTGGGGTGAAGGGCGGGGTCCGAGGGAGGAGGGGCGGGGGGAAAAAAAACCGCGGGCGGGGGGGTTATTTGAGGTCATTTGATGTGTTGTACTTTGTAATACTGCAGAGCGGTACTTCACAAACTGCAAAAGAAAGGTTAGCCTCAGTCAAAAGACAAGTGTTGTATTGCATGGCTATGCTGTGAACAAGTGAATTTGGTATAAGGTAACCACTTACTTTGGTTTTGTAAATTTATTGTGAACATTACATAATTCAATAAATATTGTCAAAATATTTCTGTGTTTGTTTCAGAGCCCCCCCCCCCCCCTTTGACATCTTGTACACCATACAGTAATGTCATACAACAAACCCCCTTGGTCATGTCACGTAATCATTCTACCATCTGTGTCTGGGAGGCCGGATTAAAGTGCATTAAATTAACATAATAGTTCACAGGTTTCCTTTTTATTGGGGCAGTACAGTAGCCAAGCGATGAACACGTCAGTAGCCAAGCGATGAACACGTCTGCCTCACAGTTCAAAGATTTGGTCTTCGAAACGCTTGACTCTGGCATTCCTGTGTGGATTTTGCATGTTCTCTCTGTGCCTGCGTGGGTTTTCACTGGGGACTCTGGTTTCCGCCCACATTCCAAAAGCCTTCACGTGAAGGTCTTTGTTTGACTATAGAGTGGATATAATGTCGACACAAGTCTGTTCAAGTGCCAGGTTTTTGTGATGTTAAAAGCACCCAAAATGAGACCAAGATAATTAATTTGCAAACATTTGTTCCACTGTTAATGTTACAGATAACCTGAACAACTCATTTGGAAAAAAAAAATGTGTGTGTGTGTGTGTGTGTGTGTGTGTGTGTGTGTGGGTGGGGCTGAGATTATGTGGTTTAAAAAAATGTGCACGTCAACTCAGTGTGTGTGGCTGTCACATTCAAACTTGTGTAAATTGTGTGTCACCACACAACTGCCACCATTCAAAAGACATCTGCTTAATCTCAAATAAAGTTGAGCAGTGTTGTGTATGCTCCAAAAATATATTTTGTGATTGGCCATTGGTTTCATTGGACCATTACACATGCGTTTGAGAGGTGTCAAGTTTGTTTCCCGGTACGTATTAAGACGATGGGACATGGTTGTCACATATACTTTAAAAAGCCAGTAATTGATGGAAATAGCTGAAGCTTCTTCAATGTTGCTGTTAGTTTTTTTGACCCTCTGACCAATTTCCTTCTCCTCTTTTCATCAATTCCAGGGCTTGGTAATGTCACTGATGTGCCATATGAGGCCTAGTGAATTATTTTGTACCCTTTTGCTGAATGATTCCTTTAAACAATGAGATCACTGTGATGCTGTGGAAGCTCTTTGTGGACCGTGGCTTATAATGTAAGATGCTACTCCCAAAATGTCAACAAAAGCCTCCTGCTAGAACATCTTCACTTTATTTTGGGTTAGTCAGAGGCACAGGTGTACTAAATCCCATTTAAAATGAGTTTGAATGTGATGAGTTAATTCTAAATACAGACACATCCAGTTTTTAAACAGTTAAAAAAAATTAGTAGCCTTGCGGTGTTTTTTTTTTTTTTTTTTTTAAATAAAAGTTTTGAAATGATTTATCTTGGTCTCATTTTTTTTCTGGCATACAAGCCTGGCATTTATACAGACATGGAGCAAGACTGTTTTTTTAATCCACTGTATGTGCCCTGTGATTGGCTGGCAACCAGTCCACGGTGTACCCCGCCTCTCCCCCAAGTCAGCTGGGATGGGCTCCAGCTCACCCATGACCCGAATGACGACAAGTGCTATAGAAGAGGACAAATGGACTTCTTGTCTGTTGGATCACTGTCACTAGTGATTACAGATTTTGTTTTGACGAATGTGGTCGCCACATTTGCACTCGTCTGCTTGCCCTGTATTTTGAGTTTTGCTTTTCCAAACCTTCCGACACAAACTCTTGACAGAATGCCCATAAAGCTGCGTCGGTGGTTTAAGCAGACGGCAAACCAAATCTAAAACTGGTAAGACGTGCCTCATTTTGAACTTCAGAGGAAAGCATTTGAACTTTTGCTGACCTGCCACATCAGCAATACCAGACACTCCTTTTGAGATCAAAATGGCAAATGCTAACATCTGCCAGCCCTCTTCCAACCTGTTCATCTTTAGTCTGCTTGTTCTCAGCCCAGGGCTAAGTTTTTCATACGTCCACTGTCCAGTCCTAAGTCTCCACTGGTCTGGCCTACAGCCACACCGCTGGCCCCTGTAGCTCCAGTCTCTGCAGCCTCAGATTCTGGCTCCAGCTCCCTCTCCTGGCTCAACAACCTGTTCTCAGTTTCCACTGTTCGGGCTGAGCATGTGGTTGGTTGCAAACGAGGATCCAGGGCCTGTGCTGCAGTCGCCCGAGCACCAAATTCTTGTTCCTAAACTGCAGTACTGCACTATGCGCGTTGTGCGGCTCAGCTGCAGCTGCCTGAGAGTCAAGTGGCTCAGGCGCCGCCATATGAGGGGGACGTATTGAAGCTGACCCCACCCGCCTGACCACTTGAACCAGCCCAACAATGTATACACAGTATGACTTTTTTTTTCAAAATCAATTCAAACGACTGTACTTCAATTTGAAATCATGCAGGTTGCACCTTAAAACACAAATACAGTTTAGGAAAAGTAAGCTATTGCTGAATCACTTCCAACATTTAAAGGTTAGATGGACAACAAGGATATAAGGACTTCTCTGACTAGCAGTGTGTGTTTACTGTCACCAGGACCTGACATGGTGTGAGTCAATACGGTACTCAGTAAACGGGTCTAAGCTCCTTCACACTATCGGTAATCTCAGTTAGCCACATGTCACTATTTCAACATACGTGACTGTGATGTCATGCGAGCTCCATTCGTGCTGACTCAACCATTTCTGAACCTTAAAGTTTGGAGCAGAATCATGTGCGACGATGGCTGAATGTGTGTGTGGGAACTGGTAATAAATGTCGAAAACACTTTTTTTTTTTTTTTTTTAAACAATAGATACAATTTTTTTAATAGATCGAGATGACACATTCAAATACCATTCATTCAACATTCAGTTCAAATACAGCTCATTCTGGAATTTACAAGGGTGCTTGTTGTATTAAAAAATGCAATCAAATACATGTTATTTTTCCCCATTTTTTTAACAATCATGACAATGGCCCTTGAACTAAGGAGGAAGGTTTGGCAGCACCTTTTGCTGTTGATCTTGATTTAGGTAAGGATTGGAATGGCAAATCGAAGCAAGTGAGCGTGATTGCTGGTGCCTGACTTTCATTAGCTCATTTAATAGGTTTTCATTTGTTATTATTATTTTTGTCTGAAGTTGTTTCAGTAACCAGCGTGGGTTTTGGAAACTCAGGCATGTTTAGCTGCAGATGTGAACAACATGAGAAACCAGGCATCGCGATCGTTATGACATACTAAAAATGCTTATTTAGTTACTGTGGTACAAATACCGTTTGAGCTTTTTGAAGAAAAGCAGCTCCCAATTACCACAGCAGGCGGGAGGTGTTCATGAACACTAATTCTTTCGGTCTAAGACCGATTTCAGTCATGTTCAGAGTAGCAACAGTTGTTCTTTAGATTGGACATCAGTAGGTAGCTCAGCGTCAGCCCTCTCTAACCTTGGCAGCAAGTGCAGAATTCTCTTGTCGAATAGCCTTGTAGTCTTCTAGAATCTTCTCCAGATTTGCCACAGTTTTGTTACTGTTTTCTGTGTCAATCTGTGGACAAATGAAAAACAAAATCAATTGTTAATCACTGAACAAACTCAATTAAGAGGAATCAGGACACAGAGAGGTAATGTACACTGCTCGATACGCAGTATAACGAGTGCAAAGACACCAGGACACAAGCCAGTTAAGTAGGAAAGGTGGAGGGGGCCCCAGGAATACAACAAACTGCAGAAAAGATGGCTTCTCTGAACAAATGCATGCGGCATGACATGTTTGTCCAGGGCACTTGTTGGCAATTTCTTTCCTGCAGCATGAGGCTCTGATGACCACACCTGTGCGACAGCCAATCCAGTATAGCCGCCCCACCCCCTCTCTCTCTTGTTTGAGTTGGAAAAAACACACACACACACACACACACACACACAGTTTTTTTTTTTCCTACCTGCTCTTCTAGATCTCGTATCTCTCTCAGGATTGTACCAGTGTCCTCGATGGTTTGGATCAATTGATTGCAGTTCTACACAAGAGAGGGAAACAGAAAAATATGATATTGCAAAGGAGCGTGGAAAAATAATTGCAGTAGAGGAAATTGAATGTTTAATTGTACTTCATGTAAGGCAGCCAGATACTTGTAGGATTTGCGGACCGACTCGTCTTTTTTGGCGTCCTGGAAGTGATAAAAAATATATATGTATTTTTCCCATTCATGCAAGTTAGCAAAATAAACTAAAATGCTTCTTAAAATTTTACCAAGACAAAATGTTTAAATGTCTCAAACTGCTTCTTAAATTCCATTCTACACCTGCTAGACGCTGGAGTTTGGCATTTTGCTCCAAGTCATCACTAGAATTAAGACATGATTACTAACAAAAGCCCAGAAAAAGGAACATGTATTTTAAGGACCTTAAAGACAAGCTCATCTGTCACAGCAAAAGTCCTGTCCAGTTTTCCTGTGAGGCCGTTGATCTCTTTTTGTAGTTGTTTCGTGTCAGACAAAATCTGTGATGGGGAAAGGACAAAAAGGTGACGACATGGGTTCACGTAGGAGGCAAGCATCATTACGTTCCTAAAATTGCCACACTAAAGAGAAATGACATTTGATCACTAAAATATTACTGAATCAATAAATCTGAAAAATCCCTCTTCCTTGTCAAAACTCAACCACCAATGTCACCGTGAATGGCATTGGCATTGAGCTTCTGGTCAGCATGAGAAGCTACGAGTCTGACATTAATTAAGAGCATTGAGCTTCTGGTCAGCATGAGAAGCTACGAGTATCATATCTTTTTAAGTCCACAAACAACTCAAGCACACGCTTAAAAGCACTTGAGAAGTTTGCACAAAGTTAGCCAATGAGAGCTCAAAAATGTCCTTTGCTTTTCTTTAAAAAGAAGATGTTGCCAGCCAAATCTCACCTTAGTGATTTCCTCCTTCTGTTTCTTGATGTTGCTCACAATCTCAAGAATCCTCTGTGTGTAAGCTGCCCGAGACACATCCTTGGGAAGACTTTCTAACTCTGTTACCTATAGTGAGGAAACGGCAATGCAAATAGAAAACTTTCGCATTTACGTCACACAGTATGCAATCATAAAGTGAGTTGTTTTACTGTAAATAACACATCCAGTTGCAGAAAGAAATGTAGAGATTATATCAATATATTTTTATACTCAGATTACCAGCTGTTTGTGTATTTCCTCTTTTTTCTTGGCCTCCTCTGTTGACACGCGAATTTTGTCATGTAGAACCTTGATTTCAGACAGCTTTTTCGATGATTCCATCTGTGAAAAATGCAGAAAAAAATAACTATTGCACATACAATCTTTTTGAATTCAATTATGACTATTATTTTCCTGTGTATACTTACATCCTGATTACTGCAGATTTCTTTCAGCCTGCGGTGTTCATCAATGAGCGGTGCCCGGTGTTTCTCCCACTGAGAGGCCAGGTTCACCACCCGCTGAGCGCTGGCCTCCACCAGAGCCTGCAGCAGAAGGCTGCGATTAATTGAAAGGCACTGGTGCTTTTGAAGAAATCCATTTATACTAATCTCACCGACCTGAAGCTTCACTATGTTGTTCTCAGCATCTGGTAAAAGATCAACGGTTTTCTTTTTCAGCTGGATCTTTTCTTCCAGCTCATTGTTCTGCCGCTCTCGCTGCTTGAACTCATCCAGTACCTACACAGATAAATCCAGACCTTTAGTCTGAAGGCCTGTTTATGGATTTCACTCTCCGAAACACAGCATCAAGGATTATAAGTCCACTAATATAGCATTAGAACCAGACTCAAAATGCCCACTTATGTGATTTTGATCATGTTCCTCACTCAGTGGCCACTACACAGAGTTAAATCAGTTAAACATGTTTACAATTATTTTTCTATCTGGGAAACCCTCAAAGTGGATGTGACTATTACAGAACAGGTAAGACATCTGAGTTATATGTCCAAAAGAAACCAGAACAAGGAGCAAATAATATATTTTGAATAACCCTCAAACTCCTTTAGAAGACAGATGGTATTGACGATATAGACACTCTTTACTTATTGAGTAAAAGAGGTTATATTATATGTTGAATTATATTCTGACAGACAAAGCGGAAAAAAAACCATGAGGCGTGCATTTTCTGTCGTTATCGGTTGGATGACATCATTACATGATGAACCAATGAACGGATATTCGTTTCAGGGCAGGGAGTGAAGGGGTCGCTGCTACCTGAGCATTAGTGACACTCAGGTGCTTCAGTTCAGTAGTTAGTTGGTCCACATCACTGCATAGCTGCTGAAACTGTTGCTGCAAAGACGCTAGCTCCTCCTGCTGACTGTGGTGGTTATCATCTGTCCGTCGCGCAGGGGATGGCACTGCTTCCGTCTCCTGATCAAAATCGCACAAATGTTGAATAATTCTACACCATTTGTTGTTTTTATTCTGCACCGCCAGGCGTACGCACTTGTGTAAAAGTGAACTTCTGGGAGTGAGTGAAGTGAGAGCCCTTTGTCAGGGTGTGGGCAGAAGCAGCAGACCCCCTGAAGGATTGCAGTATGTCAGACAAATCAGAGGTGGCGCCAAGACCACCAAAGGCACTTTCCGTGGGGGGAAGGGCAGCAGAGCGTAACTGCTCCTCGATACGTTTACGCAGCCGAGTCAGTTTTCGGGCTCTGTAGTCCTGGGTGAAAGGAGACAATTATTGCAGCAAATATGAGCACGTACAGGAAATGTTGAGATTAAAACATTTTCACCATGACGTCACACATACTTCTGGAGGGTAAAAAACAACTTTTTCAGATGGAAACACTCATGCACAAATCCATACATGTAATTGGGAAAAAACAGGGTAACTGGCTTGCATTTTGAGTTTATTGCCATTGTTCATATGTCAGTCCAGAAGGTGACATTGCATCTGATGTTCCTTAGGAGAAAGACAGAATACTGGCTCTAATTTATATTTGATTTGAAAATAGACATAATGTAAACTCAAACTAGACTAAACTCAGACTAGTTGCATAAGGCGTACTTTTTGACAGTGGAATGAATAACATGAAATGGAGCTGATCTTGATTACCAGGCTAACCATTGTGTTTTGCTGTATGACTCGAAGAAAACCCAACCAAACAAGTGTGAGAAAATGACTTCCACAAACCCAAAGATGGATGTTTTGTTTAGGGTCTGTCCCTTTAGAAGCGGCGACAGCGTCTTGCAATCTTACTTAGCTGTACAACTATTTACAATATCAACTCGATTAATCCTCCTCACCCAAACATTCTGCTGGATGAAAAACTTTTGAATTTAAGTTTGCAGTACTCAATCCATTTCTTCCAACTGGAAGTACCCTGCACCTATTGTTTAAAACAAATTATGAAAGGGTTTTAATAAAGCATGGGACAACCCTGTGGTTTGGATTTGGAATCATATGTTTCTACATGTTTTGACATCTTTCAGTTGCAAAAAAAAAACAAAAAAAAAAAATAATGATTTACCTGTGGAGTAAGACGAGACAGGAGTCCCTGACTGTTCCACTCATTGTACCATTCCTGCGCCACACTGAGCTCGGCTGTGTGCTGCTCTAATAAGGACGCTGCCACAGTGGCATTATGGGCGAGCTGAGCAGTCACAGGAGGAAGAAAATCTCGCTGGTAGTCTTTCACCTCTGAAACCATGGTACATGCTTCGATTCAGTTGTAATACATGGTGAAATACAATCAAGAAACGTCATATAAGAGCACAAGTGAGCATTAAAATAAATTCATCTCAAAGTATGTAGACAAAGTGTTGGCAACCAGCAAGCGGTGAATGCCAACACACCATCACAATCCTCTGACAGTGCACGCAATAAAATGATGAGGGAACACAGGCGCACACTGCATTTTTGGTTCACTACGGTTGGATCATTTAAACTCCACTTTCAAGAATACGAGAGGCACTCAAATAGATATTGACTATTTTATTTAAAAGTAAGCTTCAACCAAACGTCGTTTTTAGAGGTCAAAATAAAATTGATGTGTGGAACAAAATTTGTCAGAAAAAAAAATCCCACGGACGATTAATCATAAACCAGTCATGACAAATTTCTGCCTACCTTTCAGTGATTTCTTCCCTGGATCTTTAATACAGTAAGGTAAACTGAGGGGCTGCTTGTGGAAGCTGTGCATTACACCTAAACTCTATGGGCAGAAAATCACACAGTGGACAATACAACATGCATGATTTCTTTAACGTGTGCATAGAAAGCTTTTAAAGTGAGAGCACATTGTCTGAAACCCATTATAGTGGTGAACATAAAGTAGCAAGAATGAGAGAGTGCCCACGACAATGATTCACCCTCTTGCCCATATCATAACTGCAAACCTGACAGTAAAGTGCAATTTTATTTGTGTTTAAGAGTTTACTTGTGTTTCACCATGGAGTGGTAGCCTGCAGTTTGGAGGGAGCCACGGTTCTACCAGCTGGGCTTTTATAGCAGCAGCAATAGCTCTCTGAAGAATGGCTGATTTGCCTGTAGAAAAAAAAAATAGTCGCTGACTCCTTAAAATGTCAACAAAGCATTAAAATTACTAGCCGTACCAAGAATGTGGACAAGTAGTCTAATAATGGCTGTTGTGGAACTATACTCCTAAAACGGAACATATTATGGACATTCGATTTTTCTATTGTTTGTACTGGGATATACAGTAAATAGTGTCCAGAGTGATTGCCCACCCATCACATGTGGAATTAAACAACCAAGTAAATCTTTAGTGATTTGCCTATTTCTGAAAATCTGCATGTGAGCGTGCTGTTCTGCACTTCTACCCCACTGTTATATAACAGTGGAGGTAATTAACATAATGGTTCTCCACCAATGACTTGGTGGGTAGGCGGCCTTAGTGGTTGGCAACCTAGGATGGCCACTGGTGGCTTCACTCCTCCCGACAGTGAGTAAGCGGCATTGTTAGTCCATTTAAATACAAGTCCGTGTCCTGTACCTGTTGGCTGATCCGAGGCCTCAGCATTTTCTCTGGGCAGTTTCTCTACAAGGAACATGAGCAGGGAGCGAATCTCTGTCTCACTGCTGTACAAGAAGGTTTGATAACCTATTTCGCCTTTATAACCAATGTCCTGCAAACAAGTTTGATATTTCATTATTCGGTCAGGTGTTCAGCGACAACAGCTTTTTGCCCCCAAAACACCCCCCCCCCACCCCAAAAAAAAAAAAAACACTTCTGTCCTTGCTCACTTAAAAAACAGTTGCTACACAAGTCAGTAAGTCATGGGCGCTGTTACCTGACATGCCTGTGCCAGGCTCATCCCCACCCTGAAGCGGGCAGACATGCCAGGCGGGAGGGAGGTTGGCAGCGGGCTGCCCAACCCGGGATCGATCACCCGGATACATCTCACCACCGCCTCCACTATAAGTTCACTGGTGAAGTCTTTGACACTACCAACCTCCTCACTCAGCTCTCTACAAGAAGCAGAACAAAAGTATTGGAATGTGTGTGTGTTTGACTGCAAGCTAACAGTCATACATCCACATGTTTGATCATATGATGGCCATTAGCCAGACACAGTATGTCTGATAGACTGACAAAGTAAAATAAATGTTGTTGTTGCTAACAATTGACATAAACAAATATAAAACTTTATTCTCATGTCACCAATCACCTTTCTATTCTACACCTTATTCTACCTTGGATTAAAAAACGACGTGAATAAATGCCATGTTTTTTTTCCTTGCCTGCTTTACGTTGTATTGTTTTAATTGTGGAGACTAGACTAATGGAACAGTAAATGTTCCCTGTGGGCGAATAAGGTATCTATCAATCCATCTGTCATTAACACACTAACGACAGCAAGTACTTACGTGCCGACTTGTTTTAGGGCGAGTATCAAGATTTTGTCAACTTCCTCCATGTCGGGTGTTTTAATTTAAGGCGCGGGATTCAAGTACTGCATCAAAAGCGTGCAGCTTGTTGACCAAGCAGTCAATGAGTGAAGTGTGACTTCTCCATGGTGGCCAAACAGCAGCAGAACAAGCCTCGATCGGCTAGCATTTAGCTACTTGTTCGCAAGCAGAATCTCGCCTCTCACGTTCATTCTGTTCTCCGAGTGAAACAAGGCGTATTATTTATACTAAACAAATCTGCTCCTGCCCCAGTCTAAAATGAACAGTTTCACCCGCTGTCACGTTAGATAATTTTGACAAGTGAATGCTTTCTTCCGTGGAAAAGTATAGAAAATACTGTGATAATGAAAAAAAAATGAAAAAAATGGCTTCCTGGGAGATGAAGTCTTTGACCCAAAGGATTATGCAAGCAAGTGGGGAGAAATAACTACTTTTCCCAGCATGCATCAACATCTCGGTCTCATGACTAAAGTTGCGGAATGGTTGAATGGAATTATTGAAACACTTTTGGGGGACTACAAAAAATAGAAAAATCAAAGAGAGACAGAGAGTAGTTTTGTCTCACGTTAAAGTAATTAAGCAAATAGGCTCCTACCCCCTCTTTAGTTTTGAAGCAGTTCAATATGAGTTTGGGAAAATTACAGCAATATAGTAGATGACCAATAGATGGCAGTATTACAATGTGAAGATCTTTTATGAACGGAAATCCGTAGAAGAACACCAGGGGAGTCATTCTGCTGCTAACCTGATCATGTTATTGATCATTATGTTGCTGTAGATGTGAGAAGGATAATTTATCCACGAGCCACGTTGATCCAAAACCGAATTGTAAAGATGGCAAGCGACGAGGATAGAGGGGTAGTTCGGGTCAAAGTGAAGGTATGTTGGCTAGTTAGTGACAATCCTGCTGTTGCTGTGTGAAAATGTTTTTTTGGGCAGTCTACATTTTAATTCTCCATATACATATTGTGGGACTTCGTCACGTGTAAACGGCATTCGATCATTTCAATTACATGTCAGAGACAGAGGTCGTATCTTGTTCATGATTTTGTAACGATCAACATTGTTGTCATCGCCGGCGTGCTTTGACATCATCTTATTTTGAGAGATCATTGTACATTGTATACCTTAACATGCGTGACAACGTCTGTCCAATGCAAAAAAAAAAAACCATACGGCACGAATTACCACCCTGCTTGAGCACAAACGTCAAAGCAGTCCAGGATGACGTCACCTAGTACGCACAACAACACGCGTGTTCACCTGCGCCGTGCATCTCTTTGTAAAGTCAAATGAAGAAGCTGCAGCAGTATAATTATTAAGGCGTTTTCGTTGCAAGGCTAAATCTTTTTAGTTTTGGACGTCCAGTAAACAACCTTATCCCGTCTCTTCCATTATTATCACTACAAAAATATGTCGCAACCTGTTTTCCCCCCCATTTTCATCACGGCAGCTTTTTAGAAAGTTGTTTTTCCAGTACCTACTTATCATGAGTTTCTTAAACAAAGACACTTATTGGAATTACAAATTGATATTGTCTAATGTTGTTACAGGATACAATGCAAATGAATCTTATCAAAAATTCATTGCCTGCTTTTGTTTATATTTACAATAAATGAAGTGCCTCTTGTGCAATGCAGAATACTTTATTCATCTCTTTATCAACACTAAATTTAAAGCTACACAAACCTTGATATTATGTTTTGTCAAAAAGTCTACAATTCCATTATGTACAACCTTACTTTTGTAGTTATGTATTGCAGGATATTCATATGTTTACAGCCCTGTGATCTTTTGGTTATAAATTTGTGATGCACTCTAATGTATTTCAGAAATGTGATGGAGCACTTCCTGTGGAGTTTCGATCCTTTGCTGTTGATCCTCAAATTACATCATTGGAGGTGCTGCAGCATATTCTAATTAAAGCTTTTGATTTGAATGGGTAAGTCTGGTCCCCATGACTAAAATGTTTGTGATTTGTAAAGTACCAAGTAAATCTGTTTGCAATATTCCAAAATGTTGCTTGTTTTCGTAAACCAGGAGGCGAAATTTTGAGATCAGTTACATGTCTCGAGGTGTCAGCATTGCAGAGATGTACCTGACTTTAACATCTGATGGGGATTTGGATGTTGCATTTGCCAGTGCGGCCAAACCATATCTACAACTCAAGATGGACGTGAAACCTTCAGAAGACAGTAAGAACACAAATAACAGCCCTCCACATCATTCCACTCACACATAAAAAAATTACAGATTTACGCAAATTACTTCAGCTTGAAATGCTTTCTGAAACCAGACTAAGGTCAGAAATGTTTGGTGTTGAAATGTAACACACTCAGGCAAGCCTCTCTTCAGTCTTTCATGTTTGAAAATGTTGTATGCTGTTACTGTATAGTGATGTTATGGTACCATGAGGGGGTGAGCAGGAGGCTGATGATACATTGCGTTTCAGAAAAGTTCCAGGAGTGATGTCACCAAAGATACATTTCGAGTTATCCTCGTCAATGTAATCAACTTCAGATTTTTGCAACCATTGAACTTTCGTAAAACAAAGGAGATGGAACCCACCTAGTGCAGAACAAAGACTCTGTGTTGGGTACCTCTGGACTGCTTGATTGACAAAAGTTGCTCCGTATCAATCTTTTATGAAGTATTAAAATCAAATGCGGTAGATGTGTCGTCAGTGTTTGCTGCAACTGCATTAACGATGTTTCACTGTTGGTTCAATTTGAGGTCCTGTGATGGAGGACTGGGATATCATCAGCCCCAAAGATGTGATTGGCTCTGAGCAGCTTCTTGCAGAGAGGACCAGGTCCTTGGCAACTGCAGCACTTCCTTTCACCCAGTCTCTAATGTCTCAGGTACATTTTTACCCAAGCTTATCCAAGCCTATAACTTACATACAGTCCGTCTCCGTTCTCATATGGTTCTTATGCATTTGTGTTTAGGTCGGCCGGACACTGACACGAGTCCAGCAGGCCTTCAGCTGGTCTTATGGGGAGGAAATCAAGCCTTTCAAGCCCCCTTTGAGTGACACCGAGTTTCACAGTTATCTCAATGGTCAAGGACAGTTGACAAGACCAGAGGAACTAAGGCTGCGGATCTACCATGGTGGTGTTGAACCTTCACTGCGCAAGGTGCGGCTTCATTAATCTGCTAAAACATAAAAGCAAAGACTTCCCAGTGCTCCTTCTTGCTAAGAATTTTGGGAAAATGTTCAACTCTTAAGTGTCCCCCTGCACAAAAAAAAAAATTTACCGTAATTGTATCAAAGGCCTATTAAAATAGACCTGGTGACCCGGATGGGTATTGTAGTAAAATTGTATGTTATGTTTTTTGTACAATTACTGTCGCATAGACTTTGAATGTTGAGTTCAGTGCTACTCTGTTGGGAGCAGAATTAGCAATATGAACTCGGGGGACATTTTTGGCTTGTTTGCAGGCCTTTTTAATTTTAGGCCTCCACGGCCTTCATAAAATGGGAGTCTCATTTTTGGGGAAATCTAATGTTGTGTTGCATTCTTCTGAATGACATTTTCTTCTGTTGTTTTCAGGTTGTTTGGCGCTACCTCCTTAACGTCTACCCGGACGGACTAAGTGGACAAGAACGAATGGACTACATGAAGCGAAAGACGAGAGAGTACGACCAGTTGAAGAGAGAATGGACGGCCCACGTCAGTCACGAGGATCTTGAGTTTATCCGGGGAAATGTACTCAAAGATGTTTTAAGGACAGACCGTGCCCATCCATACTACGCAGGCTCAGAAGACAGTCCACATTTGACTGCTCTCACAGACTTGCTGACTACCTTCGCCATCACTCACCCACAGGTATTTGTTTATATCATTTTTTTTTTTTTTTGTACATTGAATGTGTCCATTTCAAATTGTGTAAATAATAAGAAGACAGTTGCTGCTGGTTTCATCATTTAGCCTGTTTTTTTTTTTTCTCATTTGAACTTAATAGCATATACTGTACACCTTATTTATGGAGAAAAAAATCTGTTGATAATAATGATGCAAGACAATGTTTCCCCAAGAATTAAATCTGGATACACTCAAACCAAGGTTTGGAACCCAAACCAATTTAGGGGGAAGCAAATTCCCATGTTAAATTTGAGTGCATAGATCAGATTAGGATGAGACTTGTTTGGACATACATTCACAGGCAATTTTGTTCAAAACTGAACTACTGTAATCCGTAGTTTCCATCTGAACAAAATTGCCTATTTTGGTTGTTTCTGTGAATTGTCAATGCACATTCTGAACTTTGTGTATGGCTTGCTTTTCAGATATCGTACTGTCAAGGAATGAGTGACATCGCTTCTCCTATACTGGCTGTGATGGATAATGAAGCACATGCCTTCATTTGTTTTTGCGGCATTATGAAACGCTTGGAGGGAAACTTCCGGCCTGATGGACAGCTTATGTCCATTAAGTTCCAGCATCTAAAATTGCTTCTGCAGTACTCAGATTATGAATTCTACTCGTATCTGGTTTCCCGTGGAGCTGACGACCTTTTCTTTTGCTACCGCTGGTTACTTCTGGAGCTCAAGCGAGAGTTTGCCTTTGATGATGCGCTAAGAATGCTCGAGGTTATGTGGAGTTCGCTGCCCCCGGACCCACCTGAAACCGAAGTGGAGCTTTTTGGACCACCAGTACAGACTGATAAAACACGTTTCGCTGACAGGGACGCGCCCAGTGGCAGTCGCCCTGGGCGTGACTGGCAAATAAAAGAAAAGCAACGTCGACAACATATGCTTCGGCCATCAAGAGAAGAAACCGACGTCGATTGGAATGCTGTCACGGAAGACTGTCAGAAAGCCGGACCTGGTAGTGATAGACGCACGCCTCAAGTGAGTGTGGGTCAGGCAGGTTTTGTGTCTCCTTCTGTTGAGGAGAGTTTTGGTGAGTTTAAATACTATGCTGCCCCAACTGAAAATAGCTTTGAGAAGAAGGATACGAAGCAGCAACAGGGGTTGACTGACGCACGGTCATTGTCACGCATTCCAATTCGTCAGTCCACCACTGAGAGTGAGGAGGATCCCGAAGAACAAACGCCACTTATAAAATGCTACAGCAATGGCATTTCACCAGGATCATCACCTCCCCTCCCGCCAATCTTTAACAGTGGCGCTGTATCTCATTCATCTTCAGTCTTACCTTCCAGTTGGTCACTTGCTCCACCTGACTCCGCCCCAACATTCGGTTTCGCAACCAGTGGAAGAGAGGCCTTATCACGAACTGTCCCAAAAGTCATCACATCTTCGGCACAATTGCTCAGGAGTACGGGGTTGAACTTGACAAGCCCTGCTGTAAAAACGTGTGCAACAGCTCATGCCCATGCTCAAAATCGATCTTTTCTCTCTTCACCAATTTT